AACAACACAATCACTTCAAATAAAAAATCAAGAATTACAAACTTTAAACAAAGAATTAAAATTAAAAATTGAAGAAATTTCTTCAAATATGTTGAATAACGATAATAAAAGGATTTTAGAAGAAATTAAAAAACTTTCTAATAATAATAAATTACTTTTAGAATTTAAAAAAGATTTTGAAAAATTCTTAACCAATAAAGATAATTTATGGATTTGGAAATTAGTACTTTGGTGTAAATTAATATTGGAAAGTTTTTATAGTTATTTTTTCTGGAATACATGTTGTAATATCGAAGAATCTAAAATTATTTGTTTTCTATCAAATGAACGATTTTTTCTTTATTTTATAGAAATACTTTTTTTTATTTTAACTTTAAATACGATAACAACTATGTTTAAAAATTTTTCATTCTTTATATTATTAGGATGTTGGTACGAAGTAACAGGAATTAGTTTCATTTTATCTTTAATAATTATTTATATTTTTAATTTTTTTTAAATTTATTTTTACAAATATTCAAAAATGTTATAGGAAATATTGCTGTAATCAACATTGTGAAGTATTAGATTGGGTTATTTTCTTTTTCTTTATTTTATATATTTTAATGTTTAAACTTATTCCATTATTCTTTGTATATTTAATTGTTAACAAATATATTTAAATATTTAAATAAAATATAGTTTTAGCTTGTGTTTATATGTTGATATACTGTGCTCATATTGATGATATGGCTCGGTTCTCAGCCTCGCAGCAAATCATTGTAATAAACGTAAGCTAAAACATGTCCATCTGATATTTATTATATCCTTGTTGTCTAGTCTGCTTGCTGCTAGGCCTTCTGCAAGGCAGAAGCAGCTTAACAGTAACTTTGTTATGATGTATCAAATGCCAATTGCATGAATTTGGTTATGCTAAAGCATAACCAAATTAAATGCTAATTGTTTTTTGATACATCTCACAAAGTTAAAACATTGAAATTTTTGAAATACTTTAAAATCTATTACTTGTTGTTTTGTTTTAAAATATTTTACTTTATGTTTTTTATTTTTAGACTATCGAAATCTCCATTTATTACTAAATGTATCAAAACTAACTCTATTATATCCCAAAGTATTATTTTTAAATAATTTACAATTTAATACATTTTCTCTATAAGATGTTTTACATAAGTTTTCTTCCCTATTATCAAGTCCACAATGATTAATATGATCGATAATTTTTTATTCTAAATGAATTATTCTATAAAACTAAATATGTTTATTTTTAATATTTGATCTAATATAATATGTATTTTTATCTTTTTGACAATACCAAGTATAATTTTGAATAAGATTAAAATGTTTGATATTTGTGAGAAAAGTAATTTCTGGGTTTTGTTTTTATTTCAAAATATAGTTTAAAATTGATTTTAACAAGACGATATTCATTTAGTTTGTGTTTTGGTTTCAAAGAATTTATATATTTTTCCCAATTCATAATTATTTCAAAACTTGAAAATATTTCTTGCCAATTCATTTTCATCTTGCAGAATTGCCAGTATTAGCAGACTAGACAACAAGGATATAATAAATATTAGGTGGACAATAAGAGTTAGTATTATGAAAAGAAAACAAATGACTAGACAATATACGGTTTGAGATCACCCTCTTACCTAATTGGTTTATTATATGAATAAAATTCTAGTTGGTCTGAAAAGACTAACTAGGGAAATTTAAGAGTTATTATATAATTATTTATTTATATTATGTAAAGTAAAATAATAATTATCTGAAATTTTGAGATTTATTATCTCTATATCACAAAATTGACTTATTGTTTTAAAGCCAAATTAAAAAATTTGTTAATAAAATTATAAATAATAAACAAAAAAAAATAAAAGAAAAGAATTTAAAAAATTCAATTAAACAAAATGAAAGATTTGGACCTATTTCAATTATAATTTTAGAATCTATTAAAAGTTATATAATTAAAATTTTAGTTGGTCTGAAAGACTAACTAAAATATTTTAATTACTGATTAATTACCTTACATATGAATATAAATAATTATTTTATAATAATTTACAACTCAGATAAACAAAATAATAATAAAAATTACAAAATAAAATTTAAATTTTTTAAGATATATTATTAACATGATTTTTAAAACTACTTGGTTAATTGATAAATATGTAGTGTCGATAGATGTTTAAACTTTAATTGCGTCTTCAATAAATTTGTATGATTTTTTATCTCTAGGTAAAATATTTTTAGTAGCTGTGCTTTTAGTTTTATCACATCTTCTATTAATACGCGTAATAAAATTAGCCGTAAGGACAATTTTTATATTAGCATTAGGAAGAATATTTGTTGTTATATCACGTCCAACTACAACAAATCTCTTTTTTCTTGTAATTTCTTGAATAATTTCATTTATTATTTTTCTAATTCTATTATTTTGTGCGATAGATGCTGCTTTTGTCCATTTTCTAGATATAATGCACTATGAAGATTATAAATAAGATTAAATTCTTCTAGATAAAATACTGAATTATCAATAATTGTCTTTTTTCTGCTTTTAAGTTGTAAGTAAATTAGATCATCAGAAAGGAAAGAGTAAACCATTGCAAAATAATGATATAAGATGCCACTATCAATAAATGTATATTCAAGTTTTTTAGCTAAATGTTTTTCAACTATTGTTTTCTCAGACTCGCACAACCCATCAGTGCCTATATTTAAATCCATTTTTATATAATTATATTTATATTCGGTCTAAACTGAATAGAATTAATAAAAAATATAATCTTTTTTATAAACAACTATATTTTCATTAGTTATAGTTTCTATTATAACTATAATATCATCTACAATTTCCAATTTATAATTGTAGTTAGAAGTATCAAAAGTCTTACATTTACCTATAGTAGTAACAATATGTAATAATTTATTAAATTCAGTAAGATTAAAAGATTTTGTCTGAAGATATTTAATAATTCGTGTAGATTGTTGATTTTTTAAATAGAAATTATTTATATGAATATATTGATCTAAACTAACATTGTTATTCTCGAATAAAATATATTTTTTAATATCCATCTAATCGAATAATGTGTTTTTGATCAAAATATTTTCTACAATTAATACAAAAATTACAATCATATACTTTCCAAATAGAACTACCAATATGAAATATGTATCTATTGGGTGTATTTATATTTTTCAATAGATTATCAATAGTGGAATCAAGTTTTATACTATATTCATATTCTGCACAATAAGTGAATTCTTCACATCTATTACAATAAGTTTTTTTATAGCTTTTAAATTCTTTTACATCTACAAAATCCAGATAACTACATTTAGTAGTAAGTTTAATTCTTTTCACTTCACAAAAAAACTTCTTAGACATATCTTGCTTTAAATGAGAATAAAATCATTTTTCACCAATTTTAAAATCTACTCAGATATTTTTTGTAGTATATTGAATCTGAAATGGTACTTCAATAGGTGGTGAATGAAGAAATGGATCAAAACATTTAATAAATTTATATTTTATCCCATACCATCTAATTAATGTTTTATAATTTAACAAAATTGTTTAGAAACTAACAACTGTTTTATCTAACGGAGTTATTCTTTCTTTGAAAAGAAAACAAAATATATTTAAAATTAGCTCAGTAGGTAGAGAAAGATAGTTAAAGGTTTGTGTTTTAAGATGTTTGTTTTCTTGTTTAATTTCTTCATAGGTTTCTTTATCAATATATCTTTTTGATTAGTGGTTTAAAACGTTTGTTTTCTTGTTTCACTTTTTTATAGGTTTCTTTATCAATATATCGCTTAGACATTTTGAATTACGTATTTAAAATTCTAATTGGTAATAAATACTAATTAGATTTAAAATAATCTGTTATTTTGTTATTTAATTTTAATTTTTTATTAGTACTATTTGCAAATTCGTTTTTACGTTTAGAAGTAATTTTTAATTTATTATTTAATTTTGTTTGTATTAATTTATCACCATTAACTTTATTATATAACAAAATTATTTTTTTCTCTGCTTCTTTTTTATCACATCCAAAAAAACTAGTGCATAAATCTTTTGAACTCTTTAAATACTATAGTAAATCTATTTTATGTTTTTCTGGTTTATAATCTGACGTTAAACAAATTTTATATCCAATATTTTTATAATCCAAATCCAATATATAATAAAAAAATTGTCCAGGTTGTAAAGTTTTCACTCTTTCTTTTAACTTTGTTTCAAAATCAATTACTATTTTATTTCTCACTTTCTTTTTCAGTTCATGTTTCATCTTATTTAGTACAATTTCCTTTTTGTTATTGTTCTCAATTATAAATTTACATACACTTCTACTATATTTTGGATTAAATTTTGTATTCAAAGTAAATAGTTTTACATCATATGATTTTTTAGTATATTTCAAAAGCACTTCACGAGTGACTTGTTTAGGCTCTTTAGTAATCTCTTTCAATTGATATTTTTTATTAAATCTCAATGTGCTCCATATCATTTTCTTCCCAAGTTGTTTATTAAACTCTGAAATATTACGCTTCTTAACCTTCAATCCTTTAAGTAATAAATTGGAGTTATCAAATTCAGGTTGGTTTTCATGAATAATACCATAATAATACTTTTTTTGTAAAAAACAAGCTGGGTATAATGTTTTCTTGTATTCCATTTTTATATATTTTTTGCCTTTTTCTTGAAGAAATTGATTAACTTTATCTTGAATTATTTTAGATATCATTATAGTTCTTTTAATTTTTTCTCCAAAACATAATCGCTTAATTATATCTCCAACTAAATCTTGAACAGAATGTCTTAGCATATATCTTGATTCTATTTCCTTTAGTATCTTCCTTAATATAGTATAAAATATCGAATCAGTATCACCATATATTATATCACCAATTTCTTCTAATTCTTCTTCTATAAACTTAATAACATCTCCGAGTATATCCCTACAAGCAGCAGTAACTGAAGATGCTACTTTTGGATTAAAAAAAGGTGAAAATCTAGACCCACTATATCCATAAGTTGCATTTGCTATTATCTTTAATGCATTTGATAAAGATAACCAATATGTATATTTTATCAGATTAGTTACAAATTCTTTTATTTTCTTTTTTGCTTTTGTTCTTTCTTCTAATAATTTTTTACATATCAATGGCATTACTCCCATATATTTTTCATCATTGTAATGTAGTTTGAATTTTTCATAAACTCTCCTTTTATCTTTAACAACTAATAATAAAGGATTATTAGATTCATTTCTAACTAATGTCAATAGATCAATATTCATTTGAATTATAGCATTTGGATAAAATGAATTAATATCTACATCTGCTACTGGTTGATTTCAACATTTTTATTTACTTCTAAAACAAGTACACCTTGATACTTATTACCTACTTCAATTATTTCTTTACAAATTGATGATACTAATATATCATGTTTTGCAGCAACTCTTCCGTATTTATTAAATACTACTCCTCCAACCGCATTTAGAATTATATTAGATATTGTAAGACATAAAATTGTAGCCAATTGAATATAATCTCCTATTATATTTTGTTTAATTAAAAGTTCCTGTAGTTGTAAAGTATCAATCGAACAATAATATACTACTTCTATAGCATATTTTTCTGATATATCTTTAGATACTAATAATGAATCCAAACAAATTTAAAAATCAATATCACATTTTAATGATAAGTTCTAAGCTGTTTCTTTTAATTTTTCTAGATTACTATAATATTTAATAGCTATAATATAAACATACATTGTATATATGTTTTTAGCATCTTTAGGGAGATATAGAAGATCTTCTTTACCATATAATTCACATTTCTTTAATATGTGATCAAGTGTATGTGTAATATCTGTTTGAAAAGTTTTTTTTGCCCATATTAAGAGATCTAAAAATACTGTGTCTTGTTTATAAAATATTCACAGTGCATATTTTCCATTGGGTTAGTCTTTATTTCTCTTGTTTTAAAATTATATCCAGGAAATTCATACTTTCTATTCATTTCATCCAAATCTTTATCAACAACTCGTATATTCTTTTCGTAAATATTTAATATTAATTTAGATTTTTTACTAAGAATTTTTTTCATAAATTCATCACCGATTCCAAGTAGTTTTACTTTTTTTAGAACTTCTGGCCAATCAAACCCTCCAGTATTATATCCAATTTCAAAATCTATATTATATCTTCTATATAATTCTGCAAATTTTAATAATAATTCTCTTTCATTTTCTACTACTATAAACACAAAATCTTTTTTACAAATTTGTGAATATTTCGAAAAAAATAAAGTTGAATTAAGTGGCAATGTTGAAATATTGTACCATTTAAGAGGTTTAGGATTATTGTAGATAAATATATCAAATTGAATCATATAAATGAAATCTTCCTTTTCCTCCCCACTTGGAAAAAATCCAGGACCACACTCACTTCCCCATTCAGTATCCCATGTACCTATGAAAAATTTTGGTAAGTTATTTGTATCAGCTTTCTTGATATCATTTAAAATAATAGACATATTATTGTAAATACATCCAGATTTTAACTTATACTATCCAACTAATTTAAAATCATTTTTACGTGCTACTTTTCTATAATAACATGTCAAATCATTGGAATATGTATCATAACATTTCCAAATTCTTCTATTTGTTTTGTAATATCTTCCTTATCTTTAGTTAAATAAGCATCTGCTTTTAAATCATTTAAATTATCTATCCTATCTTTTAACTGCTATAAAACTTTTTTCGTTCTTTATGTGTTTTAAAATATAAATAGAGAAATTCATAATGTTCTATTGAATTAAAGGGTTGTTTTGTAATTATCTCATATGATTCTGGAGTGAATTCATTTATATATGAATCAATTAAACTTTCATCTTTTAATTTTTATCAAAAAATATATCTTTAATAACAATATCTATAGTTACTTTTTGGCTATTAGTACAAACACTATATAATCATAACAAATAGTTGTTATAATTGGATACATCAACTGCATCATAAATAAAAAATAGATTTGGATTTTTATAAAAAGAATTTGTAAATTCAGTTCTATTTGATATTTACACAAATAAAAAACTATCCAGCTATTTAACTGAATAGATTAGATAAATTTATTAATATTAAAATTTTTCCTCAGATTTATCTTCAATAATAATATATAAATCGTTAAAAAAAGGATGTAATTCCTTTTTCACCATCTCTACAATTCCCATTAATGTCCAAACATTAATTGATGTTTTATCGCTCTTTTCGATTTAGTTGGATCAATGAAATTTGCAGATTTTTTTTTTGTTTGTGAGTTCCATGAATCCGTGAATCCATGAGTTTCATATTTGCATATATCTTGCATATTAATAATTGTTATTTTGTGACAATAAACAACTAACAATTACAAATAATTATTATATGCAGGCATATGTATATATGAGACCACAGATTCATGGAACTCACAGACAAAAAAAAATCTGCAAAATTCATCGATCCAACTAAATCGAAAAGAGCAATAATTTGAAATTTTTTAATATCACAAATAAGATTTAACATTTGTTGATATTTTTTTAAAAATAATTGATATTTTTTAAAATCATAATTTTTTTTTAAAAAATCATTTTTAAGAACTTTACAATCAATACAAAATTGATGATAATTACACATTTTGGTTAAATAATAGCTAACTAAATTTCTAATCGGTATATAATACTGATTAGATTATAAATTAAATATAATATAAAATCATTTAGTTTCAAAAAAATGAATAATATTCGTTAATATTACAATTATTATTTTTACATTCTTTTAAATAACAACAATTTTTACAAATATAAGCATTATTATTAAAAACAAAATAAGTGGGATAAATCCTTTGAATAGATTCTTCATACTTATTATATAATTTTCCCAAATATTCAAGATCACATTTTTCCCAAGTACGTTGTCTTTTCTCCTTCCTTTGAAATGTTGTTTCCTTTTCTGGTCTAATATAAATAACTCGAGAATTAAGTTTTAATTCAATTAAATCACGTTTTTGTTTTAAAAATTTCTTGATATTTTTATCTTCGATATTAATTTCTGTAAAAATTTCAATTTCTTGATACTCTCTATCAATAATAACATAATCATAACCTCTTAACTCATTAATCGTATCAATTATTTCTTTATATTTTGTAGTAATTTCTGATTGGAAGAAAAGAGAATTCTTTGTTTCATAAAATAATTCTAATGCTTCTGGAATTTGAAGAGAAACTTCTTTCATTCAGTAAACTTTATATCTTTTTTCAGTAAGATATTTTTCAAGATGTTTAATACAAACAGATTTTCCTGCTCCAATAGTTCCAGCTATCATAATAATTTCTGGAACAATCAATTCCTTTTCTTTTAATTTTCTTTTTTTATCAAGAAATTTTAAATAGTTTGTAGTAAGAGATTGTAAATCGTCTTTAACTGCTTCACCAAGTTCTTCAACTTTGGAAATATGTCTCTTTTTACTTGTCATTTTGAAATTATTACTATTTAACAACAATATGATTAAAGAAATTAAAAAAATAAAAAATTCTATATACATATTTAAAAATCTATTCAGTTATTAACTGAATAGATATTAATAAGGAGTAAACCGATTACTATTACTACTATGTTTAATTGATAATTTTCCTATTTTAATATTTCCCTTTAAATATATTTCAAATAAAGTTGAAGATTTTTCAAATGAATCAATTTCAAGATTTTCTAAAGTAAAATCTTCTAAAATAAATAATGATGATTCTTTTTCTTTTAATAATTTCTTTGCTATTTTAATTTGATCGATAATATTTTTAACATTACAAAGATAAATCTTTTGTTTTGAATTTAAAGCTTCATTTTTAGCATTATTAGAGTATATTGTATTTGTAACAAAAAAACCAACAGTTCCTTTAGGTTGTTTAGCTAATACTGCAGAAAATTGTCGAATATCTGCAGATCCAACGTGATATTTTTCTGCTTTGTTTTTTACTTGAATTATATAATTCATTAGTTTATAATTTCTAAATAAATCGATTCCACCATCACTAATAGGAGTGAATTTAGTATTAATTTTATAATCTGTTCGAGTGGCATAATATTCAATTTGATTACTTCGAAGTAATTCAAGTAAAGATAATTCAAGTTCATCTCTCTTTTCTTTAGTTGAAATCTAAAAAAAAAAAATAATGAGTAATTGTCATCATTATATCAATTACAAATTTAATACTAAGCCATTTTCACAGATAAATCTTAATACTGGCTGTTTTTACAAAATGTAAAATATTAAGTTCTACAGAACACGACTTCACAATGACTATTCACAGATTTTACTCCTAATACTTAAAGGACTCACTTGTTCCAGCGTTACTTACAACTTAATATAATACTAGACAAATATTCAGTAAACAAGTTACCTTTTTGGAAATCAGGACCTTGAATATTTTAAATATGTAATATAATAACAATTAATTTAATAATAAAAAATAAAAACATTATAATTATATAGTTAAAATTCTATTCGGTCAAGAAGACTGAATAGAAAATAAAATAATATTAATAAAAAAAAATTAAAATAATAAATTATTCATTTCTAAAATTTCCATGTCTTGAATCCTTTTTTACAATTTCTCCTTCAGATGTTGGAGTGCCAACTAAAGAATCTCCATTCTCAATTCTAGTATCATTATATTTATTATTGATTTTCTTTTTTTACTACGCTTCAAACTAGTACATTTTCTTCCCACACTATCAATAATTTTATTTAATTTAAGTTTTAAACTATCAGTAAGAAGTTGATTTTTAAGATCTTTTATATCACAAAGAAACCAATCATCATGTTTTTTCGGTTCTGTATTTTCAGGAATTTGATCTGTAATTGTAAAATAAATCGATATTCTAAACATACATTCAGCTCCATCAGGAAATCTATGAAATCTAGTATGATTATCAATATAATTTAATTGCTCCTCTGTAATTTTAATTTTAGCTTCTTCAAAGGTTTCACAAACAGAACATTTTCTATGTGTTTCATTTTCTACAAGTCCACATACAGATTGAATATAATTCCAGAAATCTTTTTTACTATTATTATGACAATTTAACCAAAATTTATAGTCAGAATTAACCAATAAATTAATAGAAAATTCTCTGACTTCATTTTCATATTTATCAATGATTTCTTTTTTTTGTTGTAATAAATTAAGATTTATAGCAATTAATTCTGTGATTTAGTTCTTAGCAATTGTAAAATCACCAAAAAACCCTTGTTCTGAAATAGCTTTTAAAGTATTTAAGTAAGTAAAATAAGTTGAATTACATGTTTGATAATTATTATAATCTTTTAACACATTATTGTACAATTGTTCAGCCATTTTAAAATTTAAATAATAATAATTATATATTTAAAAATCTAATTGGTTATAAACTAATTAGATATTATTGTTAAAAGTTACATCTTTAAAAAATACATTATTATTATCAATTTTTCCGGTTTGTTTAAAAATATATTCAAATTTACTAACACAAATATGAAATTCAGAAAAATGATATGCTTTACAATCATTACAATAATAATTTTTTTCACTATTATTATCGTTTATGACAAAATTATCATTTTCATATGTTGAAAATTTTTCAGATGCTGTTGACTCATAATCTGAAATATCAATAATAATGTCTTTATCAAAATTATTTCCCTCATTAAAAAGTTTTCGTTTACATTTTTTGCAATATTTTCGTCTAAATAATGAATCACAACTATTACAATAAGTAAGTTTTAATTTTAAATTATATTTTTTTGTAAAATTATAGTTTGGTGTTCTATGATTATGTAAACTTCTTCGAATAATAAATGTTTCATTATTTTTAGTAATATATTTAACATTAAAGTTGAATGGATATTCTGAATTTTTTTTAATTAT